CGTGAGTCTTCCGGTTGGTATGACGCAGGCACGCCACGAGAGAGTGGTCATGTGTCCATTACGTAGTCTGGCCCACACGTGTACGCGCGGGAGATGAGCTGGCCGTTTCGGTATAACGCCACGTACAAGTAATCCCAAGGCTGTCCAGTTCGTCCGGCGCCTCCTTATGCGATCAAGGACGGACGGACGGATGGATTGACCTCCACGGGGCAGCCAATTCGATCCTATTCCAACCGCTCGCCTAAATGCCAGCTCCTCTCGACCTTATTGTAATGTTCCTCTCTTTTTATTCTCCAACAGTGATTCTGAAGATGCAGCGTAAGATCCCACCATCGAGGGACGATAAGTAATAGTCGGAAAAGTGATACGCCCACTCTCTAAAGGCAATCAGTGCGTTAGCACTGAATAATTTAGTGCTACACTTATAACTGTGAATCAGTGATTATTCACTGATTTCAGTGATAATCTACTGATTGACTTTAAGAGAAGTGGCGAGCGTGGCGCAGAGAGACAGTGCACTGCTTAGTAAATAAATAAACGAAAAGATCAAAGTTCAAATCCAGCTACGGACACCGCTGGTTTTTTCGGATGCCACCTCTCGGAGGGAAGTGGTAATCATCTAGAGTATCCTGCCACACATACCCCTTTAGGTGTACAGCCCTCCAGGTCGGAGGTTTTCTACGGCAAGGTCAGCAGCCTATCGAAGGTGAAATGAAACCAAATGCTCAAAGTACCAGTTCGTTCTGGTACAGTACCAGAATGACCTGAATAAAACAGACTTTAAGCCTAATACACGAGGAAGAAGAAGAAGAAGACTTTAAGAGTATACATATATACATTGCCCGAGCCTAGAAATACACTGGTTCAAAGGATATAAAGAATTGATTGAGAGAATTTAATGTGAAGATTAGGGGATCATTGTACGTAAATGGTACATGCTGCGCACCTCGACGGGACGAACGTTTAGATTAAAATGGCTAGCAGGGATTTATATAAAAATAGACGGTCTCATCGATGTCGATCGACACAGATCGCCATTATCGACATTATATCAAGTACACGCGTCATCTCTTATCTGCCGCAGGTTTTCCCCTTGTGTATATTAAACGCACAACAATGCTCGCCTATCGTTCCACAGGACGGCTCGATCTTTCGATCCGATCGACGTCAGATGACTCGCCGAATCTGAAGTGCGGCAGAAATGAGTTCTGAGCGCGAATCAATCGGCGCCTCGCTAACAAATTGGAATTCACGACGACGAATAGGAAGAAAAGTCCCTCGCTATTAAAATACCGAGGGACGCACTTGACTCCCGCGGTGGTTCGCGGCCGGTAATTTTTCTAGATCGATCGTCAGCTCGAATCGCAAGCCGCGTATCGCCGCGCGGTGTTCTCCAGTTGCACCATCGACGGGACATAGATAATACAGTTCGACGAACCGTCTATCGCGCGTCTACCAGGAACATTCATCACTGTCAAACCGTAATAATATATGTACGTATCGTCCACAAATATACTTGAGGTACAAGTAGAAAGGAGGCAGTTAGTAATTTAAATCGGCGGCAGAATAATATTTCTCGTTTAAATTACCCAGGCCGTACGAGTGGTTTCGAATGACTGACTGGTCGCAGTTGTATAACATCATTGTCGGACAATGTGCCGAGGATGCGAGCTGGCCCGAGCTGCTTTTTGGCACGCAGCAGCGACTCCGATTAATCTCGCGTAGCTACATAACGCGACGTCGGTGAGAAAGTCAACACGAGAGTAGACCTCGTCAGATTCGCGGGAGGCCGATCGGTCGAAACGTATTCGCGAGATCGGCCTAATATTCTACCCTCGCTCCTCCAAGTGGATTTCCGAGAGAACCCAGTCGTAATTACAAGTCAAGAAATTTGTCACCACGACAGCCGCGGGGAGGAAGTTTATCAAGCGATTTGTTCAGATACGCACTCTGTTTAGGCTTATCAATAGGTATATATAACGTGGGCAAACGTTTCGGTGAGCTCCGGGAGGCCCCTCGAGTTTGACAAACATAACAATGACTTAAGTGGCGACGTTAAGTACATACTGTCGTCTGTGTAACATGTATCGACCTGCCCATCTGTTTGCCCAACACTTAAGAATCCGCATTTCCAGTTTGCTTTGAATTATCAGTTCGATTACGAGCTATCTATGAACTATCCCATTGCAACTGTAGTCGCATTTTGTGTTCACATCTAGCGAACGATTGGACCTTCTTTCACCGTCGCTTCTTATTCGCGAGGAGGAAACCGCTGAGGGCATTGTAGTGTACAGATTTGCGGCATTACTGGGCATTAGGCCTTGCTGGCGCATTATAAAGATAAAATAAGATAAAGTAATGCCCACTGGGGAGTACAAGATTTTGGTCAGCGGTTTCCCCCTCGTTATTCGTCACAAATTATAATACCATCGCAATTGAATCGCAATGTAAACTTTAGACCGCACCCGCCTCAATCGTTATAGTTACACGTTGTACGAGATACGTGAAAAGTTTTCCAGGGCGATGAAGAGCGAAGTCTTATGAATGACGGTAAAATTAGAATCGACTTCCAGGCTCGCCGCGGCTGGTTTTCTCGCTGCCTCCCGCTGCATCCCAATTTTATTTCTACGATTTCATCTAAAGAAACCCGACGAGACCGGATCGATAACGGGGAAACGATTGCAATCAGCGTCTTCTCTTCCCGTCGCGGGATATTGTTTCTATTTTAACAATCTGATTAATCGTACTTCCTTTCACCTGACCTCGTATTGCGCATTTCATTGCGCAGCACCTCTGCTGCTCATTTCTATTCGCCGAATCTGATGAGAGATAACACCCCTGTCTCGCCGATTTATATCGCGAACGTCGAGTTTATTTTTATCTGGAAATTTCTTCGCTGGCGGATCAACCGCTTCCTTCCTTGAAGAGCGACAGATTTTTCCACAGGCACAAATTGGCTGCACGTCTTCGCGCTCATTCTTCTACACGGAAAGAATTTTCCCTTAAAATTCACCCTGAAATCGCGTTATTGCGGAACAACGCGGCATTTCGAAGACTTTCATGCGAGGTTGTTGACATTTTACCATATACGTTTTACTAGTAATTATACTTAGCAAACTAGTTGACTAGTAAAAATGCGAGGGGAAAACCGCTGAGGGCATTGTGGTGTACAGATTTGCGGCATTACTGGGCATTACATTTTTCTGGGGCATTAGTTTGGGCATTAGGCCTTGCTGGGGCACTGTAAAGGTAAAATAAGATAAAGTAATGCCCACTGGGCATTAGTGCACTGAAAAAAATTTCTGGTTGAATATGGACGAATCAGATAATTCCTTTAGGATTTACCAGAATTCCTGTAATCCTACAGAAATTCTGGTAAATCCTAAAGGAATTCTGGTAAATCCTAATGGAATTATCTGATTCGTCCATATTCAACCAGAAATTTTTTTCAGTGTGGGCATTGGTGTACAAGATTTTAATTTGCCCCTCGGTAAAGTGTATGGTAAAATTTCAGAAAACTCTCATAAAGCTGTTCGAAATAATTATACGATTTTCGGGATAAATTTTAGGAGAAAATTCCCTCCGTGTATGCAGAGATAACAACGGTTGATGTGTGCGTACACCTTCGGTAAGGAAAATACCGTCGTGAGGCAGGAGGGGCAAGCAGGACGGTGGGCTGCAATTCGACACATCGACGAAATGGTGCCTTGGCATTGCCATGCCTATTACAGCCAATAAAATGTATTTGGCCGACGTGCCGTGCTGCGATCGCGATCTCGCAGCGCTACGAATCGCGGGGTGTGAATTACGACGGATTATTGTTAACGTCGGACGTCGGTGTTGTTAGCTAGCAATTAACGTTATAGCTCTGGCTCTCGGTAAATACAGATTGGCACACGACGTGTTTATACCCGACTGTGTACGCGCGTGCGATACCGCTTGTCTTCACGCACGTGAAAATTCTATACTCTACATTTATATCTTATCTTCCGAACGCACCGAGTGTACTCCATCTTTGTGGTTTTAGAAAGTATTTGTATTACAAGGTACAATTTGATTTTACAAGACGTAATGATTTTCACAAAAATTGCGGAAGCTGCATTTTGCTCCCGATCTCTTGAAAATTCACATGCCCCGTAATTAAAATTTATCCGCTGAACGTCGAATGTACTTGTATCTACGTGCAAGCAAGAGAATCGTTATGATTTTATAAACATCAGCGAGAGCTGCATTTATTTTAAAGCTCTTGAAAATTCACGTGCCCCATAATTAAATTTCATCCCCTGAACGTCGAATGTATCTACATGCAAGCAAGAGAATTGTTATGATTTTATAAACATCAGCGAGAGAGCTGCATTTTATTTTAAAGCTCTTGAAAATTCACATGCCCCACAGTTTCATCCCGTGAACGTTGAGTGTACTTTATCTACCTACGTTCAAGCAAGAGAATTATTATGATTTTATAAACATTGGCGGGGGCTGCATTTTATTTAAAAAGAACTCTTGATTGATGCAAAATTATTAGTAGACTAGATAAAATTAATAGGGCAAAGGGTGGAATTGAAAAATGCTGTTGAAAAATTTTGGATCTCTTCTTCCTCTGATATTTTACATCTCATTTTCAGTATTTGATCCCTTGCACTTCACGTCCTTTTTTTTTTTAAATTCGACTATGACTTTTAACGGCAGGAGGGATAAAAGGGTCAACGGCGTATTCCCGGGAGCGAGCATTTCGTTCCTCGGGGGGTGATCGATATTCGGATCTTACGTAGCCGTTAGGCGCGATGTAACCCACATTTTTATTGCGAGGGCGTACTGCCTACGGTAACGTTTTCGTTACTCCGCGCGATTACGTAACGGCTCCGAGGCTGGCGCACGAAAGCGAGGAATTAGCTGCGATTTTATTTTTACATTTTTTTTTCTCCCCTTTCATCCACGCGCGCCACGTTATCGAGTCGACGGAAATGCCGCGTGTTTCTCACCGCTCGAATTTTGTGCAGTTTATGAAACTGGCGAAGTCGCTGCTGGGCGAGACGCTGTTCTCGAAGCTCATGAAGGCGACGTTTTACGGTCACTTCGTCGCCGGCGAAGACGAGGTGCAGATCACTCCGGTTTTAGATAGGCTGCGACAATTTGGCGTTAAACCGATCCTTGATTACTCCGTCGAGGAGGACATCTCGCAGGAGGAGGCCGAGCGACGCGAGCTCCAGTAAGTATTTGCTTTCTCCGCACTTACGCGATACCCGCACGAATTCGATCGCGTCCATCGCACAATGATCCTTCTTATCTTGCGCGCGGCGCCTTTGCGAGAGCGACACGCCGCTGCGCATCTCGAGTCCCTTTGTCGAGTGTGAAATTTGAGCCTGCGTATCGCTTTGCCGCACAGGACTAATATTGGGGTCTCTATATTTAGTCCCTACATTTTCACTTATCCTCGCTTCTGGGCGCGAACGGGAGATTAGACCTTAATTTCCGCCGATATACGCCAGCGTTTCTCAAACCTTTTAGCACCGCGACCCACCGAAACGTAGAATTACTTTGCGAGACCCTCCTGCAAAAGTCCAATAGGATAGAGCTATCTCGCTCAGTTTAACAAGAAATTTGTAACATAAGAAATTTTAGAAGATTGTTGCTTTGCCCCCAGTTCGAGCAACGCTGGTACACGCGGTTGAAGAGTTGTACCCCGTAGAGATGGAAGAAATCAGGACAGAAACGAGACAGATTCTAGATAGAAAACAAAAAACAGCCGCCGAATATGCGGTATTCTTCCATTTCAGGGCCTCGGTGTCGGAGGCGGGCGACGAGAAGACGGAAGGTCCGCTGAAACAGTTTCACGTGGAGAAGTCGTTCGCCGACCGGCGATACAAGGTGTCGTCGGCCAGGACGTATTTCTACCTGAACGAAGCGTCATGCGAGCGAAACATGGACATATTTATCAGGTGTCTGGAGGCTGTGGCGAGTGAGTCACGGACTTTATTTTTGGCTCTCCGTGGCATACGAAAAATCCTTCCCCCGAGACCTAATCCTCCAACACCTAGTCCTCGGCGTCTTTGGCGGCGCGACGTTCAAATACGGGATGTCCGTCACAATCCGGTCTAGAGCTACACAGTTGGGAAATTGGTGTTTTCTTGTAAAAAAAAATCCCGGTTAAAATCTTTGTGTTGAATGTTTCACACATTCGTGTGTTAATTTAACATATTGCTCCTGCATTAATTGACCTCAAATGTAAAATTATTAAAATAACTGAAAAGAAATGTTAAAACAACACAATGTGTACTTAGTTTTTAATCTTACACAAGACATATGTTCTATATTATTAGTAACAAGATTTATCTGTTAAAATTTACAGAATAAAATGTCGATTTTGTTCTATATAACATAAGCGAGAGTATTCCAAAGTGTTGTGAAGACTCCGAAAAAGAAAATATGTAGAAAGAAGAGAGTGCCAATGTGAGTCACAAAATGAACGGAACTCGGTTCTCACAATATAGATTCAAAATTGCTCTTTAATAGCATAAACGTTTCGACCCTTCTTCGGGTCTTCCTCAGTAAAAACTACAATGAGATCATCGAAAGTACAGGATGAGATTACGGTACAACTTATAATAAGTGACAGTGATTTCAAACTGTCATTTGACTTATTACATCAGTAAAATGTAAAAATAACTTTTTTAAAATTTATTTTGTCATTAAAAATATGTTAAATTAACACAAAATTTTGTGTAGACCGTTTGGGACCTGCGATTAAATTTAACACAAATTTTTCAACTGTGTAAGTCTTCCCCCCGAGTCTCTTGAACTTGGAGGTCAAAGAAAAATACGTTTTTGCCGAAAGTATAAATTGTAAGTCCGTATTTGTATTTTTCCTTTTTGTTTTTCATCGTCTCGATCTGTTCCGCAATTTATCACACAAGCGGAAGATTTATTCGCGCTGCAAGACCAATCTCTTCCGCAGTATCGAGGCTTTTTTTTTCAAGTATCTCTTGACCTTCTGATATTCCAGCGGAAATAGGTGGCCGAATCACGTATCTTCGCCATCCGTGGAGATCGATACTCCGATCTACTATCTGTTAAGATTACTGCATTGTTGCATAACTTGATCCTCGCGTGATTATCGATTCTCTGATTACGTGGGGAGGGGGTGGAAGGGAAGGGATTAATATTCGCCGCGCGATACTTGTTCGAGAGCGCCGCTCCTGGATAGACGATCAAAATGCGAAGGATACGGCGAATCGATGAATTGTACGAGTGCAATTAAGTTAAAATGAGGCTTAAAGTTGCATTTAATCGAACTTAATAAAAGTACGTAACGCGGCGGGGAGATTGCTTCTCGGGGAGGGTAATAGCGTAATTACGGGGGCGCGACTCCGACGTCACGAAGTCGCGTGCAACATCGATTGCCGCCTTCGGCGAATTTTCGGTTCCCGTTGACGCGAGGGCACGCGCCTCCTCCTCCTGATACGGCGATATTACGCTAGGCGGCACCTACAAAACGCCGAATTTATTGCCAATGCGAGAAAGAAGGGGAAACAGCCACGTGCTCTCGCCGTCGCCGATGACGGCGATGGATCTTTCGAAATTCCACGAGTCAGGCCAGTCCTCCACTCGGCTATAAATATCGGTACGTGAGCGAATCGCCGTTTGCGCTTTCCGCCCGAATTATGTGACGTAACGGGTCGGGGACGTTTGACGGACAAAGAGCTGTCACGCGTTGACTAATGTCTAAGAAATAGAGAGGAAAATTAACAAGGTGTGCCCCGGATAAAGAATATTGCTTCGTAAACTTTTACAGAGGACGAAGTTGAGACTCAGCGGCTGAAATATCCCTCTCAGAATATTACCACCCATGCCCAAGCTGATCCCTATCCTGGTAAGAAGACACATATTTCCCTTCCTTCCCTCGGGACCTTCTCCGTAAACATATTTTCTGTTATTATCCTGAAGCGTTTTACTTTCACGAAACAATAATTCGCCTAGCTGGTACTAATGTAACGTGACGTAATTCGAAATATATTCTTGCAGGTGCTTCGATGGGAATGGGCATCACAGCTGTTAAATTAACGGCGCTCGGTCGGCCGCAGCTTCTGGTTCGTAACTTAATTTTTACTACTGACTTTAATCGTAATCCATTTGTGAGCTTATAACTCTTCGTTTCAGTTGCAATTGTCGGAGGTAATTATGCGCGCACGGCAGTACACATCAGACGTTATCGGCGGCGAAGGTGCCGTTCTGACTCATCACGCGAAGCCTGATGATTTCAGGAAAAAGTTCGAGGAAGCACATATAAAAGATGAGGAGTCGGTGCAAAAGTTCCTTCAAAAAATTCAGTCGGACAAGGAAGGGTACGAGCTTCAGAATCACAGATTTTAGCGACCTTTTAATATAGAATTGCGAACACAATGGGTATTTTTGTCCGCGCAGTGTGATTCACCTCTTTCCGTGGAGCGGTATTCTAGACGAAAATTACGAACTGAGTGAAACGTTCCAAGTACCTGATATTAAAACGGGCAAGATGGTCAGGCTGATGTCGCAGCTCACGCCCAAGGAGGAGGAAATGTTTAGGAACATGATCAGGCGTCTGAACACTATCGTCTCGGTATGCGCCGTGCACTGAAAACTTTTTTTTATCAATCTTCAAGTCGACGGCTATTCATATGAGTTATCTTTTGTTTACAGGTGGCGGACAATCTGGATGTTCGTATCATGATAGATGCAGAGCAGACCTACTTTCAACCGGCTATTTCTCGCTTAACGCTGGAGATGATGCGCAAGTACAATACGAAAAAGGTAATGTCCTAACGTTCTCAGGAAATTGCGACGTTATCACTTAGCTACTTTTCAGTGAATGATATTCTCACTGCCAAATGTCGGTCTACTTCTCAGGCTGTGGTATTCAACACTTACCAGACGTATCTACAAGACGCGTTCACCGAGGTGAAAACAGACCTCGAACAGGCGGAACGCCAAAACTTTTATTTCGGTGCTAAACTCGTTCGCGGCGCGTACATTGAGCAGGTTTGTCAACGTTTTCTTCCGTTCTGCGAATAAACTTTGCTGAATAGCGCGAAATACCATAGAGTTCTTATCCAGGAAAGGGCGAGAGCGGCAGCTATGGGTTATCCAGATCCCACGAATCCAACATATGAAGCGACGACCGAGTCCTATCATAAGACACTCATGGAGTGCCTTAGGCGGATGAAACAGTACAAGGACAAGGGAGAAGATCCCAAGAAGATAGGAATAATGGTCGCCTCGCACAACGAGGACACCGTGCGTTTCGCGATCGAGAAGTGAGTATCGTCAGTCCTATCTTTATTCTTGTCGGGAGGGAATTTCTGTATACAGAAAATCATCCTTTTACATATTTCTTTAGGATGAAAGAAATCGGAATTTCGCCGGAGGATAAAGTCATATGTTTTGGTCAGTTGTTGGGAATGTGCGACTACATCACATTTCCATTGGGTATGCAATAATTCTTTAAGCTCAAATATATTTCTCGCGATAAGATGAGGTATACGCGTGCGTTAATCTCGAATGAAATTTCCAGGTCAATCTGGTTACTCCGCGTACAAGTACATCCCGTACGGACCCGTTAAGGAAGTTCTGCCGTACTTGTCGCGGCGCGCGCAAGAGAATCGGGGCATACTGACGAAGATCAAGAAGGAGAAACGCCTATTGCTGAATGAAATCGCGAGACGTATAGTGCGCGGCAAGATCTTTTACAAACCCAAAGGCAATTACACTCCGGTTTGAACAGTCGATCCGTTTAGTTGCACACAGACAGAATTTTAAATATTAAATTAAGTAGTGATTGTAAATTATCGAGAACTCTCCTGAAAGAACTTGATACGAGCACTTCGGATTAAAGTAATTGATTGAAGTAACTTGACGGACCTGTTACTGTGGTACTCGGAAGAAAGAGAGAGAGAGAGAGAGAGCGTCGTGCGCGTACTGCGCACATGAGTGTGTAATGCGAGACTTAAGCGTATACGCAGTGTTATCTATTACGTAAAAATCGCCTTAGTGTTGTATTGTCGAATGGTACCGATGCTCAAAGTTGCTAAGTAAAGCTACACTGAGAAAAATGGCCGATTAAATATAATCGGATAATCCATTTACATAATAACAAACGGACATGTCCAACTAAATTGTATATCCGATGAAAAAGATGATCGGTGTTTCAATAAAATTTCATCGGTAACTGCGTTTCATCGGATAAATTTCAGCGGACGTATCCATAATTTAATTGGAAAACGTAATCGGAAAAATTAACCATTATTTAATAGGTTTATCCGATGAAAATTTTTCTCAGTGTACAGTATGTATCCGTTGCTCGTTTCGTTCGTCGTTATTAAAGAGGATGCCAATGATTGTGCTATGACTTAGCTACACTCACGAAAAGGTGTTTCCACAAGGATCGAGCAAAGAAAGTCTAAAAACCAATCAACTCTTTCCATGGCTGGTATCAAAAATTGTTAATGGTTTTTTAACGATACATTCTTTGGGGTATTGAGAAATCGATCGGTGGCTTTTTCGCTATGAGACGCAACGATCTTTTTAGCACATTTGCGTTCTTTTCAAGTTTTACAATTTCGTTGAGAATCTCGTCGAATATTTTCCATGTGTACATATACACGCGCGCATCAATTATTTATGATTCGTGTTCACTTAAATGTTTTATCGTCCATAGTATCGGTAACATTAAAGGGGGAGGGGGAGGGAGGGGTAAGAAGAAATAAAGGACATTGATCACAAATCAAGTTGTAATTGTACGATTTGGTACCATCTTAATGAGTATCGCTCACGGTGAACGTAGAACTCTTTAGAACATTCGCGATGCATACAATTATCAGGAAGGAACGGTTAGCAACTCACATCGCGTGCGCTTCCATTAAGCGTATAACGTCGCCGATGAGCGTTTAAGTATGCGGTTTGCGAAACAATGGAGGAATGATCATGTTTAAGTAAGGAAGAAGAGACAAATAACACGCGTATTACGAGAAGATAGTTCTTAGGAGTGCGACGAGATAACAGGGTGAAAGTAGATTCAGAGGTATCTTAGCGAGAGACGCGCGGATTTTCGAATACTCTTGAGTAGCACGAAGCAGAAGAAAGAACAAAGGTAACAGAGTCGTTCTTCATAGTGCACGCGTCTCGAGTCGTGATACACAAAAGTGATTTTGGGCTGGCGATAACGAAAGCCGGAGAGAGAGATCTGCGAGAAACGCGACATTTCTTTTGTGATACGTTAATAGCCGTAGTTAAGCCACGCATATACGTACACGAAATATTAGTCCCACTTCGCTTCAGCCTAAAATTGCTTTCGGCGTTACAAGATAATCCGTAAGAAAAGCATATGGCGCTGTTGAAGAACACCGCAAGTACTGTTGATAAAAGGAAAGAGATGTGTGCTCGTTGTTTTTTTCCAAGGAAGAAGACAAGGAAGGACCGTCTTAGAAACAATAAATTTTCATGTCGTGATTCGAATAAGAGTTTTAAATGTTAACAAACTTGTTCTTTTTCATCCGTCACGAGAGAAAATATATCGAAGAAATTTGTCGGAGATTAAGCGATGATCTGATTGATGAAAGAAAGAGAGAGAGAGAGAGATAGTTGCGTCCAGCCTGCGTTTCGTATAATTTAGCGTTACTCGTCGATATTAATGACGGAGCCGTAATTCACGACTTTGAAGATCACGATCATACAATCAACGATCAGCAAGTTACGATATAATTTAGCCTGTAAGATTGTACAAGTTTTTGAAGAAGTTGCGTAGCGCGTTCTGATATTCTCAGGCCAGTATTTCCTTTATACTCGCGATAGACGATTTAATAATGTATTCCCTCACAGTCGGTATTATTACTATCCTTTCTTTTCTTTTGTTTACTTAACTCGCATCAGATTGTCATCAGATTATACTCAAATCAGTTCGTTTCTCTGGGCGATCTATACGCGAGTGCAGTCATTTGTGATCTCCTATCTTTTGCTGTATACGTTATGCGAGAGCGTTTACGTTCAGAGTATGTGTGTATGTAGCCTACATTTGTACACGACTGTAATAATCCAAACGAGATATGTTTGCGTAGAGTATTTACTCGCTTCGTAGAGACGCATCGCGTGCGCGACATAGATCGATTCGCGAGAGACAAGAAGAGGAAGGATTAGGAGTTACGGAGCGCGAGTCTGAAAATTTCGCTGTGAATCATGTGTTAAATGCAAATACTGGAAAAAGGAGAAGAGGAAATCGAGAAACATGATCGATGAAGAAATAAATAAAGGGGCATTGTTACAAGTTACACGGGCTAATAGCTAAAATGTTTCCATGTGTCTATATGTGGTATACCGGATGTGCATGGGTGCGTGCGTGCATGCGCGCGCGTGTGTATGTATGTATGTGTGTATATTTCTAAACGTTATACCTTGACAAATTTGAGATTCAAGGCTTTCTTCGAAGCCGTCTAACTACTCGTGCCCTGTCACGCTCTCGCGAGAACGCGAGCTCTACTCGCGGTCCCGTTAAGACGTAAAATGCTGACAATAACTTAGATAGACAATGTTGACGTATACATATATATATGTATATATATACAGACGTGTAATAGGTGTATGAGTTCTGTCACTTGCATTTATGTCACTCATTGGAAGTTGGAAGAGAGTGCAACGTGAGACCGACGACGCGTTTCTCGAGGCTGTAGGTAGAAGATGGTGTTTATCAGAAACCGATCGAGTATCGTCGCGAAACTTCCGAGTACTCTAATTCGAGTGCTCGGCGTTTTACTGCCAAAGCGTTCGAGTGGCGACAAGATTGGTTCATCGCTATCCTTTTTAGTCGAATTTCCCAGTAGTTTTGCGTTCTAAGAGTCGACGGTGATTTCACCGATCTTCTTCTCTTCTTCTTCTGGCTCTTTGACGATCGTTTTCTCTCTTTTTACGTGCAATTCTTTCTTTTCTTTTTTTTTATTTAATCGACGCTCCTGAGCGTCGACAGTTGGCTAGCTTATAGTCCAAACGAGCTCTTAGAAATTCATATATCGTCAAGTCAATAGTTCGTTAACGAGGAAGAGAAGCTCGGCGAAATCCGCCACGAGTCTCGTGGCGATTAGCGCTTTTAGTGTATTAGTTTACGAAGTACAAAAACGAATGGTCAACCAACGATCTCTACGATGAAAGTAATTCCAAGAATTAAATATAGGCGGGAAGGTGAAAAAGGAGTGCGTGCGATTTGGAAGGGATTTCGAGCGTGCTCGCTTTACCTTGGGGGACGTTCGTACGCGGGCGGGTGATCTCGGGAATGGCGATTTTGCGCGTCGCACACGAAAGTTAATTAAAAGTATCGATCGATATAAAATAAGATAATATTTATTATTTCATGAAATACAGATAATATATGCCTTTCCCCAATGCTACTGAGACGATATACATTCCCTCGCTAGGACACTCGACGTTCTTCTCGCTTCCCCTTTCCCGCCCCTCACCCTTTTTTCTCTCGCCCCGCGGACAATCGGCCGCGATCGTCGGCGAACCGGAAGTAACCAGGTTTATTGCTGAGTGGTAAAAAGTATGGATTTGCCCACAGGCGTTTTTGCGTCCTAGCGGCTTTTCTTCCCCTTCACACACACCTCGTTCTCTTTCTACTCTCCTTATCCCGTCGTCGTCCTGCGATCCTTACTCTCGATCAAGCGTAATACGATTAACTCGAACATCGGAAAACATGTATGAGGCGCATAAAAAACTTTACCGTAAAATGGGATAGGTTCGTACCGACGGAAGCAGGGGTCCCGGTATCCCCGGAATTTGTCCCGGAGATGTACACAATGATCAAATGATATTTCACTCTCCTGATACGCGGCCCGGTTTAAAATAATAGACGGAATCCCAGATAGCGTGCGTGTCTAAAAGACATTAAGGTAGTTGTTTCGCGACGGTAATGCTCAAAAGTTTCTTCCAAACGGGAACCAGCACTCAATTATTACAATGGTATCATACATCTTGATGCAATATTGTTCTAAAAAATACACTTGCGATTAATACACGATATAAAATAGATTCGAAAGATTATAGTTTGAGGCGCTGTTGCCACGTCTCTTACACTACACTCATATCTACTACATGTTGAAACGGAACGGTCAATAATTTTGATTTTTTTTCCCAGTTATTCGTTCTATTTTACTTTTGCCATCATTTGCGTTTGCATTCACGTGTAATAATATTACAACGAATTATATTGTTACGTGTAATGATATTTTTAACGTGTTTGACACGTAATATTTCGTGTAACTTAGCAAACCTTAACATTTTTTTCTAGAGCTTTGAGACGGTCAATTTTCATTTAATTAGTCTTATTTTGCACGTATTAATGTAAAGAATAAACTGCAAAAATTGGAAACAATTCTCACATAAATGATTTTACGAAATAACTACCTTAAGGCGGTATCAAGTTGTCTTTTAGACATGTACGTCTAAAAAGTGTCTCAAAGATACCTTTAAGGCGTCTTTCAGACATGCATCGCTATCTGGGATATGGTCATGTTCTAATATTTTAAACGGGGGAAGTTATTGTTAACTTAAACATAATTACACACTCCCTTGTTTGCAATTGTTTGCACAAACAAATTCGATCGGGTGGTAAAAGTGCGACGTGAATCACGAGACGAAAAAAAGTTGGAGACTCATGGACTGTGTCTTTCGCGTCAACGGATCTTGAAATTGTCCTCTTTTTTTTTTCACGGTGACGCAAAGAGTTACCCTCTTCGTCAATGCGCGCGCGCACGGTCGTCGTACAAACAACACGCTGCGTTCCCGCCGCGGGGAGGACGCGGATGAAAACCAGGCTCCGTTTCCGCCGGATGATGCATGCCAGTGATATGTTATCCCTCCCTCCCCCCTCCCCCCAAATCGTTCTAATTTAACATTCGACTCGCCTACACTTGTAACATTAAACGAGATAACACTTATTAATCTCCCTTAAACTTTACGCGATTACAGTATGAGGCTGGCGTCCCATGGAGCGGAATACCTGGAAACGGAATCGGCGGATCGCCAATCACAAGATCATTCTGATAGAGCTCTTTCAAAACTTCCGGCCTTATGACTGACGACCCGCTGACTCCGCTTCCGCGTATCCCGCTCCACGGGGCGCCTCACCCCGACTTAACTCCTAAAGATCCGTAACAAAAACGTCAACTGACGGTCTGCGAGCCGGGGAGACGATTGCCGCTAACACAATCCGGGAAGATGCCCTGAACACCTAGGTGCCTCGTAAAACAGGCGATCTGTGGTGTCTCCGCGATTACGCGCGGACGGCCGCATCCGTTCTCTTATCTACAGAATATTAGCGGAAGTCGCCCTCGTTAGTCTATTCGGGAGGACAGTCCCCCTCCCTGTGAATCGTCACGCGCGACTCTCGTCGAGACGAGTTGTCGTGATAAAAAATCTTACCCAAATTATCGCGGATGTTCGAGTCGTTAAAGGTGCTTACAATTACCGCCGGACTCGCCCCTAGGCGTCGATTTGTCTTCGACTTCGGACGCCGCTCGCGACCTGGCGGGCCCGGCTCGACGCTCGCGCGCGCCTTTTCGAGTGCGATCGGTATACAAAAGGATAGAGTTGTTTCACTCAAAAGAAAACAAAAGAGAAAAGAAATCGATGCGGCTCGCACACACGAGCATCTACGATAGATAGGGAGGTTTGCGTATGTGCGGGTACGTGTATATACCTATATATATTTATATCAGGGAGTCTCGCGCAGGGCAACTATACCTCGTGTAGCTTGGCTTGAAAGACATCAGGTACATCTCGACGTTTCGTTACGTCAAACGGCGATTCGTTCGAGTGATACAAAACGGTACGCTCGATATTAGAATACGATATATGTGGATTTGCACGTACGTGCGCGTGTACGTGTATACGCGCGTGTCGTTTCCCCGCTATTCAGTCGTGTGCATCGATCGCACCGTAGCAAGTAAGCGTACGTGTGTACATATACATACGTATATGTGCTATGTATGTATGTACGTACACGTGTATGTAGTGTCCGTATACACAGCCGTTCCATCCAGCTTCGGAAGAGCGATCCTCTCATTAATCGCAGCTCGAACGCGCCCGGAGAGAGAGCTTTAAAGCGCCCATCGATCGTCGCCGTCCTCGCTCCAAATTCGCGGAGGAGCGAGAGAGACGGAGAGACAGAAGTCTCTCCCGAGAGTCGAGTGCTAAATAGGACACCGCAGTAGCTCGCAATGCTCCGCGCTCACACGAGATACGCCGGATATCACGTCGAGGCTGCACGCTATCGGCGCTGGATTTTACACGCTCCCGCGACTAACTCCAATTCTTAGTCGCAGGTTCGAGCTCTCTCTCCCTCCCTCCCTCTCTTTTCTCGTGTGTCAAGGCTGCGAAAAGAGTACGCGATCTCGTTCTTTGACTTTTATAAAGCTCCGCTTTCGAGACAGAGGGGGGAAGAGAGAGAAAGAGAGAAATGTTGCGTTATCCAAAGCGCATCGCATTGGAGCGTTTTGCACCCGCGGCCGCTCGGCGTGGCGCGGCGCACTCTCGTTTCGTCTACCGGACGATACGACGACGCTTGGGAAGCAGCGCGTTTGCGAATGGACGTCTTCCTCACGAGAGCGTGAAGATCGAGGAACGCTCCTTCGAGCCCTCCTCGATGGCACTCCTGCGACGCTCCTTCGAACTCTCCACGACTAGCAGCACCGGGTTCTTCGGCGGACTATTATCGTCGCTGTCGTCGGGCAGGCCGTAATCGGTGCGGCAGGCGAACGCGACGCTGTTCGCCCTACGCCGCGTCTTGACCTTTAACGTCGCGCCGCCGACCTGCGTCTGATGTTGCTGCTGCTGTTGCTGCTGCTGCGGTTGCGGTTGCTGCTGCTGCTGCTGCTGCTGTTGCTGCTGTTCCTGCGTCGTCAGGCCGCTGCTTCTGCGGCTGCCTCGTCTCGGTATTCCGGTCCACGATCTCGTCGCGGTGCCGGATGGAACGGCTCGTTCTCAGTCCCCCCGATGCCTGATCTCGGTCGTCGTCGCCGTCTCGACGCTGGTGGACCCGCGCTCGCTCGCGGTCGAGTCGCCTGGTCATAAGGGCGCCAGAGTCTTGCCGCGGCGAGCGAGACGGGTCTCCAGCCACAAGTACGGCACCACCGCCAGCACCAGGGTGACGGCGAGGCCTAGCACGCGATAGCGGGTGCACACCGCGCCGTGCAAGCTGAGCGCGAGAGTCAGGCCGAGCCAGCGCCAGAAGAGCGACGTCGACAGCGGTCCCTGCCACGCGTTCGGATACAGACCCATCACCAGCGCTGAAAAAGTAGAATCAGAGATGGAGAACGTCCGCTTCATCTTCCCCATCCGCTCTCGCGCCCTCATTTTAGGAGAATTGCCGTTTTCACGCGAAGAGTCTCGCTCCTTCGCTACACCGACTCGTTACGTTTCCATCAAGATGCATTTTTAAGAGAGGTGTAAATTAAAATGTGCTATTTTCGATAATGTCCCTCGCCCCGTGCTTTTTCGTCTCACGGATACTAAGGCCGCGTTTGCTCGTTCGATGACGCTCGCGCGATTCCGCGCTGTGTGAACAATTGGCGAACGGCGCCCGCGTTCTGACGAGATGCAGACGCGTGCCGACAAAGCGGAGCTTAATCGCAACGTGGATTCCGCTGATCGGAGCAGAATTATCTTCATGTCTTCCTACTTTAATTTTAAATTGACTCAAATTTCATCCCCTCGTCCTTTTGCTGTACGAAACCCGTACTGTCGCACTGCTGTTATTCATCTAGCTGTCCGACATTTTGATCTGCCTCTAATTCAACGTGGTTTCCGCGAACCATCCACCGCGGCCTGCAAGCTGTCCTCGCTCGAGACCGCTTTGCCGCCTGACGTCCGCGCGTGCTGCAGAGATCAAACAAGCTACTCACTGTATATCAGAGTTTCCCAGATGGAATTACAAACTCCCCAGGCAGCTGATATGACGTGGAAGAGAGCCGGATCGTCTCCCGTCGGTCTCCAGGTTACCAGAACGAGCAGAAGACAGGCGTGGAAAGCGAAGCCCACGACTGAAACGGAGAACGGAACGCGTTCGAATTGACGTGGTCGGACCGGAATTATCTTCATGTATCCCTGCTTAAATTTGAAACTGACTCAAATTTTATCCCTTCATCTCTTTGCTGTATGAAACCCGTACTGTCGCACTGCTCAACTAGCTGTCCGACGTTTCGATTTGTCTTTGACTCTAAAGTGCCACCCGTTTTGTTTCATGCATATCGATAGACGCTTATTTGTAGCAGACTGTGTTATTAAATTTGACGCGAGAGATCACTTACCCACGACAAAGTACCTTTTAATGTGCCTGAGCAACATCGAGAGCGTCCCGGCGGCCACAGCTTGCAACAGAGCCAGGCTCACGAAGCTTAAGGTCACCGTACCGGCGCCGCCTAAGGCACATACCACGTATGCCTGAACAAAACACGATCATCTTTATAGCTGTTTGATTTTTAAAAGATACGCAACGCAACCATATAGTCCGATATAATAAAATTCACAGAAACACTCGTGTCGCGTGTTTACGAAACGAACGCGGACCTTTTAACGGATGTCTCTCATTTACCTCCACAAAATCAGCATAAATGAAGCCCTGTTCCAACCCGATGAAGAGCGTGAGCGGCGCCGCGAGCTGAAGCTTCGGGTCCTGAAAGGCGCATTTCACGGATTTGAGGATATCCTTGACGCTGGCGCGGTCGTGGTTGGCGTGGGGCTCCTGCACCCTGGAGTCGAGGAACGCGCAGGATATGCCTAGACCGAGCACCGCCAGACCGAGCCAAATGCTGACGAGGATCCTCGACGTGCCCGACGTGATGGTCGGCACGTAGAGTGATTCGTTGTAAAAGTACATCTCCTCCGAACAGTACTCGGCTCCGCAAACATCGCTGTTCATCATCACGCTAGACGGCATCAGGTCTGTTAGCTTAACGAGGATCGCGGCGATGAGGCAACCTGGCACCACGGAGAAATTATATTAAACAATTGAGATTGAATATGTGAATGAATAACACAATCAAGCAAAAGTAACATGAGGTCAGCTAATAAAAGTCCGAAGGAAGCGAGTCATAATTGTACAAATTTCCGGCAAACGTTATAAGTATGTAGACTACAAAGGCAGCAGAATGACGTACTGAATTAACTTGGAACTTTGAGAAAATTATACGTACAAGATTACGCAACATGAAATAAGATCGAGGGAAATTAACGTGACGCACCGATTGCCAGACCGGTGTCCTCGGCTAGCTTGATTACCCGATTGAGCCTTCGCAGCAGGCATTCGCGCCGCGTCTCGTTGGGGTCCTCTGGATCGACGCAGTCCAACGCCAGACTGGTCGCGCACACGTTGATGTGCGATGTCCTCGCCAGGAAACTCGAGCTGGCGCAGCAGCCTAGCATCACATAGCTGGGCGCGAGTATGTACCTGGCGATGCAGAAGAGAGAACGCTGGACGTATATACGTTAAGACACTCGCTTTCGCCATCGTACTTGAACCTGTCGGTACTCGGCAATTCGAAATTTGCAACTGGTAGCCTCTACTCTCGATTCGTTGAGTCTCTCATAAAACCGCGGTATCCACCCAGTGATTAATACAACCCAGCAAACACAGAACGCTGCAGCAACATTACGGCCACGTTGTAACATTGTGGCAACCCAGTCGGCAAAATGTTAGCAGACTGGCAGCAGATTTGGCTACCTGGGAATGCATTGCTGCAATGTTCCGTGCTCGCCGGGAACGATCGTTTATAAATCGCAGGCTCAGGATTGGGATAAAATGCGGCGAGCATGGCGACTATCGTACCATTTAGGATACAGATGCACGCCGACGAAGATAGCAGTGACCACGTGGGTCGCGGTGACCGTGAGATTCGCGCCGAGCCGTTGCACGACGATGGGCGCGAAGCAGCTGGTGGCGGCTGCCATCATGTAGAGATAGGCGAGGAGCACCGGGCCCATGCGGGGCTCGAACGCGCCCAGGCCCGCCTGCAGCGGGAAGATGGGCAGCGTGGCGGCCGAGCAGCTCGCGTGGCTCAGCACAACGGCCACGATGTGGCGTAGCGTGGACTTATGTGGCGGCCTGGGCCCGGACGGGGCCGCGCGAACCGCCGCGATAAGCCGGCGCACCGACGACGCGCCCGCCGACGAGTTCATCGAGTCGCGACGCCTCCACGACAGCGCCGAGGTGCGCGTCGACCGGCAGGAGATCGGCGAGTATGCCGCCATGTGCTGCAAAGGCGAAAAAGGAAATCGGATAAAGAGACGAAGCGAGGAGTTCTCGGCGATTATCTAAAAACTATTATATTATGTATAGCTTCTTCAGCTTGTTGTTAGGGGTTCGGCTGACGCAGGGGCTGCAATCGTTCGTCACGCGACGACAATTAGAAACGGTTGAACGCTCGCGCGAAAAACTTAATATGCGTATCTCTCGAAATCTAAGCTCTTCAGATCTAACTTCAGATCCCGAGAGATCACGATGAGCGGTGTCGAATCTTTGGATCTCAAGTCTAGGCCAACTTGGGCTCCCAAATTACGCGCGCGTCCCGAGTCGAAATTTTGTTGCCCTATGTTGAACCTTTAATTCTATTATAATAGCAGGACCTGAGACAGTAAAAGAGATCGAACTGCAAGTACAAAATTTACTCCTACTTAAAAACCGATAGTGTCGGAAATTTCTGCTTTTGCCGGTTTAGCATTAAAGTAGGTCCTTTTAAGCAGGAGCTAAGGTACATTTTTAGAATTAATAAGATTTAAGGGACACTGAGTCGAAATTTTGGTACTATTTTGACACTTTTAAGAATAATTTACACCTGTATACACCAGCAATAATCTACTTTGATGACATTATATTTTTTTACTCATCCCTCGGTGGTTTTAGCACACCGGTTTAGCATAGGGCCAAAATTTCGACTCGGGAAGATGCGTACGAAGCAGGCTATCGCTGGTGTCTATGTAGCTGCGCAGATCAGCTAAGTAGGTGTAAATTATTCTGAAAAGTGTCAATATCTCAACAAGCAATGTGTCGTCGGTACCTCCAACATGGCATCGTTGTCGCACAGGGTGGAATGATGATGCCCGCTACTTCTCGCGCGTTTATGCGTGTGCGCCAGCGGCGGTGGCTGCGGCGGCAATCGCTTCGGGCCAAGACCGCCGATCGGCGCTGGCTTGTACACCGGGCTCCCCAGCTTGTCCTTGGTCAGCTCGTGAAGATTCGGCAAGGAACCCATCGTTATCGTCCCGCCGTCGCTCGGTCGCTTCGCGATTACTCGTGTGATGCCTCCTCGCGCGCGATCAGGCCCCTCGCTGCGATCTCATTACGATTCGGATGGCCGCCGTCACGATCGACGTTTTCCTCATCCGCGAGTCGGTCACCTGTGGGACGGTAAGGAACCAACTTTTTTCGTACCAGGCGCAAACAACGCTCGTCCATTTTTCGCGCGGCTCGGACGTTTCTCTCGTCTCCTAGAGTTTCAAGATTCAAGACTCGACCTCTTAGCACCGCGTTAAGGGGGCCCCGTGAGACGCGAGATCTCGGCGAATCTGGCACTCGCCGAAATCACTTTGCGCTCTCGTTTTCTCCGAAGCAACAAGTGTACTCGTGAGGCGCCTCGAGGTACACATGCGGCACCATTAAAATGACAATTGTCCATTCTCACGCGGCGATCTCCTTCGTACGTTCAAGTAAGGAAGCCAGCCGCGCGATTCCCCGCGCGCGCCTCGCATAATTCAATCGAACGATACTCGTTACTCGCGCTAATTGCGAGACGGATGAAAAAGGGGGGGAAAAAAATGGAGAGAACGGAGGATAAAAATTGTAGCGGTCACCCGCGCAGCCTTGAACGAGAACTTGCTGAGCGAGCTAGCCGTTGGCGTAAATAAATGAGACGTGCGGGAGCGGCCTTCGTCGAACGGTTCCGTCCAATAGCGGTGATCGCCGATCGTCGATCGGCGATCGACGGCTGAGACCGGAAATCCAGGCGAATGTAAATTTACGCGCCAAACGGGTCCGCGATCGCGTCACTCGCGCTTTTTAATCAGAGGGTAGGACGACGCGGGGAGGGGTGGGGGAGGGGGAGAAGGGAAAAAAAAGGAGGCGCGGAGCGTCGGAGCGCGATCGCCACGCGACACGCGCTCGCCGCGAATGCGCCGATTGTTATCTGCTTACGCAACGCGAGCCTGTACCACACACGAGCACCTGCTTCACGGCGCGCACACACACCTCCTCCCCCTGGCAGCGCGCCTTGGTCCCCGTTATCGGACGATCGGTGACTAGAAACTATCGGATTTACCTCCGTGCCTCTGTCTCGTATTCTAATTTGTAACTGTCAGATCTCCGGATTAGCCTCGCTCGTTGATCTAATGGCTGGGGAAACTCGCAATTAGACGAGATCGCAACAATTTTCCAGCTGTCGCGCATATTATAGGACGACGGAATTTAAAAACCGCGAGCTAGAATAGTTTCGAAGCGGGGCAATTAATCTCGTCTGCGTTCTCCGTTTTATTTCCGCGTTGAGCGTCACGGGGCGATCCGGTTGACCGGGTCCGTTTAAAAATTCGCGATGCTGCGCGCAATCGGGAGAACTTGGCTCCGCGTTAATTGTAATGCGATACGTGCGACGTTTTCTTTCGGAGAGCGAAGCGTTCGAGCGGGTGTTACAAGTCGAGCGAGATCATCGAGGGAACTTGGCCGCTGGCAGAAAGTTTCGGAGAGTAATCGGTGGATTCGAGAGCGATTTGGCCGGCTCGGCGACTTCGATGCCGACGGTCTTCCGTTATTTCGACGCGCGTGCCTCACGCGATGGAGTTCCGACGCGTGGAAATGTACCGAAAAAAAAAAAACGATCCGCAGCTAGGTGGGTGTAGCCGGTAAACCGAAGGTGAACGAGTTTTTCACGCGTAAAACTGCACACCCAGCGCGGCATACGACTCACGTTCTCGGAATCCGAATCGGGAAACCCAGGGCAGAAGGGGAAGGGAGGAAAAAGACGTGGAATCAGCGAACGGATCTCTCTCTCTCTCTCTCTCTCTGCTAAAACAAAGTACAGTACGGTCCAAGGAGAAATGAAAAGTCAAGATGACGTCAAATTGACGTGCACGTGGTTAGGTGATCGAATTGGTGAGACGTCCGGCTATTAAGGTAGGTTGTTTCGCGACAGTAATGCTGGCCAAGGAAACCAGCCCTCGATTATTATAATGATATCTTGATGCAATATTGTTCTAAAGTATAGATTCGAAAGGATATAGTTTGAGGCGCTGTTGCTACATCTCTTACACTAGACTCATGTCTGCTATTCTTCCCAATTTTCAGTTTCAACTGTTCATATCGTTGAAACGGAACGGTCAATAATTTTGATTTTTTTTTAGTTATTCGTTCTATACAACATATTTGTTTCTCATACGAATCTCTCACTCACCGTTAAGCTTGAAAAAAATAAAATGTACCATCATTTGCGTTTGCAAACGCAAATATTAATATTTCAACACATAATAATATGTGTAATAATATCACAACGAATTATATTGTTGCGTGTAATAATATTTTTACCGTGTTTTACACGTAATATTTCGTGTAACAGAGCGAACTTTAACATTTGTTTTCAGACCTTTAAGACGGTCAATTTTAATTTAATTAGTCTTATTTTGCACGAATTAACGTGAAGAATAAACTGTAAAAACTTGAAACGATTCTCACATAAGTGATTTTGCGAAATAACTACCTTAAGAGGGAGGTCCAGGTTCAAACCCTGGCTGAGGTAAAGTTTTCGCAACAAATTACAAAATTAAGAACATCCCGTCTTAGCTCTTGTATCCTTTATTATTTCGTATTCGTGATTTCACGTCAGAGCCTCATGAATTTTACTCTTTTCACTAGGATTCACATTTTCATCATCTTTATTCCCATCTACACACCGACGAGTTTCAGGGCTGTAGTCCATACAGCTTCATAGACTTATATACTAGACTGCGCTATCCGTAGGAGGCGTCGGTCGTAAGATATAGAAAGAGAGGCAGCGCTGAACTGAGTCAGTGTCTCTGTCTAACTTGTTCGTTTTCTCCCCACTCTTAACGCTGAGCGAGAGAGAGAGAGAGAGCATAACTCTTTTGATATGTCTGCACGGTCTGCACTCTAATGTTTAGGGCAGCGCGTCCATACGGATGGCGCAGTCTAGTATATAAGTCCATGTACAGCTTCTATAGAAGTTTGTGGCAGTACCATAGACGTAATATATCTAGACCGAGCGTATGCCTTTATTTGAGCAGTGAGGGGTAGGGGTTCACGCAGAAAAGGACAAGCTCTGTTTCGTGCTATTGCGTTCTCTCTTGTTTACGTGCCAACGAATCATACTAATTAAAGCAAGTTTATTAATATCTTTGAGACTGAATTCGGACAATCGAGCGTTACCATCCAAAACTTGAGTGTTTCTTTCCGTAAGGGTCTGAGCAGAACGGCTGCCATTGTGCGTTACCTCAAGACAAAGGCTCAAAACATAAAACGTTGTCTTAAGGGTGTCTTAAGGGTATAAGACAGCCATTCTGCTCAGGCCCCAAAGGTACCCCTGAAGGGGTACGTGCGGCAGGATACTCTCGGTGGCTGCCACTTCCCTCCGCGAAAGTGGCGCCCGAAAGAACCGCCGCCGTCCGTAGCTGGATTTCAAGTACTCGGGTCTCCTCGTTCATTTGTTTACTGAGCGGCGCACATTTCTCTGCGACACGCCACGCGCTCGCCGATCGAACTCTATTTGTTTAAAACAAAAATTTAATAAAACGTATAACGATTAACATATCGTATACGGGCACGGCGAGAGAAAGATGACCGAGATCGATGGCGTGGAGACGAGGGGAGTCGAGCCGAGCTTCACGGGGTGGGAAGAGGGGAGGGGGGGCGGGGGTGGGAAAACGGGCCCTCGCCACCGGGTGCCCTGAAAAACCCCCGACGGCCGCGCGCGGTGCAGCCGCGTTCTGTGTGCGGTATTCGCTGCGTTGGATGCTGAATGTATCTCGCGGCGTTGCAACGACGTGCGTCACAGGGGAAAATGCGGCCGATGCGACACGGTGCTGAATCGATATTTCGTTTTTCAGCACTGTCCGCGCTCCTGACCTTGGTTATTATTCTCGCGTCGGCCCACGTAACGTTAAAGCTGCCGATAATTACGTGGGTTTGCGTCGCCGGGCACGGGTAAGAGGTGCGACGATTGAGAATGAGAGGGGAAAAAATTGCCGCCAACCCCCGTTACCTGGGGGTGAGGGGGGGCGCGGGATCCTGGGGCGCGAGACCCGAGACGGCCGCTGCGTGGGTACGAAATTTCGTTTTCGAGCCCGAGAATCGACGCCGATCGATCTTTCCCCCGCCGTTAAAAAGAAAATACCTCGACGCTCTCGCGACGATCGGCTCGAGACGATTCGGAAAAAACACCGATAATTTTACGTCTCTCCGTGTTTCGCTGCCTCGCCAACCGGAATACGATTATTTCAGCACCAGGTGTACCCGCTCGAGGAGAATAGAGCCGCGCGCGCAAAAGCGGAGTTTATTTTTCACGCTACGTTACGCACGGCGGTAATAACGCGACTGTGTCGGCGAGCGGAGCCGAAGACAACGGGGTGATATGCGGCGGTTTTATCGTGTACGCACACCGTGTGCGCCGGATACCGTGCATTTAGACGGGAGAACCCTCCAGATGGACCGATTTGAAATCCCGCTCGAGGGAATCGAGGGGGGTGCTCGGTAGCCGCGGCGACACGAGAGGAAAAGCCCCGAGCTCGGTGGATCAAGGGAAGCTTACGTTTCCGCGGTTACGCTGCTGCCCGGCCGAACAATCGCCATGGTTTCCGTCGGGAACTAGGAGCTGCCGAAACCCGGTTGCCTGTTGTTCCGCGGTGGGTCGTCACGGAGCGCGATCGCCCCTCGTGAAATCGAGATCCTCGCTCTCATCCCGCGCGGCGGCGACGACCAGCCCCGTCATCGGCGTGCGCGGCGCACAGGTGCTCCCGCGAACGTTCTCTCCGCGACCTGAATCACGACGCCCGCGTCAAGTCGCAGCGTTAGACCCGCGGCACTCGCGCGATCCGGACGTCGGCGACTACTCGCATGCCGACAGTTCGAGTCGACGACGTTTCGGAGATCACCCCGGTAAAAAGAGTCGTTCCGCGCACTCGTCGCGCAGGACCGCGGGCGATCGCCGCTCAGGACCGAGATCGCATCGAGATCGCCAGCGAATCCGCGCGAAGCCGCCGTGCCTGCGAAACGTCGGCGGTCACCGGGCGCGACGTGACGGCGAAATCGAGACGAGGATCGACGCGCCGCGAGCCGATCGCCATGAATCACGCGCGGACACCCCTGTCGCAGCCACCCTGGGGGTGAAATGTTATCAATATGCGGAACGCGACGATGCCGCGTTGAGCGGGTACGCGAGATGCGAAGGACACTCCGAGCACTGTCATACGCTTGCGTTCCGGCGGATTCAACCCCGGGTACTCCTCTCTCTTCGCGAGAGAATCGCGCGAAAAAATGTCCCCTCGGGAGATGTAAACAACACAGCACGGAGTCTGCGGGATTCTGAATCTCGTTCGACGTGCCGAGACGCAAGCCTCTCGCTTTCGCTTTCTTTTCCCTTCCGGCGTTCACGAGGACCGCGAACGCGGGACCGCGCGATCGACGGCAACCCGGGATACCGATCCGCGACAGGATCCAGATCCTGGGCCGACGAAGGGACGACTCGCGGAGCGGCTCGCCTCGTCTGCGCCCGCAATTCGGTGTCGCTCGGTTCTGCTCGAGTCAGCTCGGCTCGGCCTCCTCTTCTGATGGTCGATAACAGCGAGAGTGCGTACTGAGGGCGCGCTCCTTTAATTCCCACCGAATCTCTCACGAGTGTGATTTTCCTCCGAATCTTACGGCAGCACGCGAAAAGTCCTCACGCGATTCTTAATCGGTCGATCAGCGGGTTCGTTGTCAATCCGGGATCGTCGACGAGACCGGCTGGCGCGATCGGTCAGACTCGTTTTTCCGCGACGTAAAGGCTATATCGGCGCACGTGCGCACTTTTGCAAATTTACAATTGCGCCCGAAAGTTGCAACTTTCGCAATAACGATGCGACCTCGGTCGAATTACCGAGAGGTAAAAGATAAACGCAGGTGCGTGCGAAGATCAGATACTCGCGCGACAAGCCAAGTCAAAATTATGGCCCTATGTTGAACCTTTAATTTTCTATTATACAGTAGGACCTAAGACAGTGGAAGAGATCGAACTGCAAGTACAAAATTTACTCCTACTTAAAAACTGATAGTGTCGGAAATTTCTGCCCTTGCCAATTTAGCATTAAAGTAGGTCCTTTTAAGTAGGAGCTAAAGTAAATTTAGAGAATTGAAGATTCAAGGGAGGAGTAAAAAATGTAATGTCATCAAAGTAGGTTATCGCTGGTCTATGTAGGTGTGTAGATCAGCTAAGTAGGCGTAAGTTATCCTTAAAAGTGTCAACAGTACCAAAATTTCGACTCGGGAAGCGTTCCGTTTCTGGAACAAAGCGCGCCGGCGAGTTCGTATCAATTGGCATCGAAATTCCATGTCGCTCGCTCGTCGAAAATCAGGTCGGGGTCACCCGTGGACGATATTAAATCCCGTAATCAGCATCCACGAGCCACTAATTGCCCGTTGTTACGGGGACGAAGGTTTCCGCTCGCGAATCTAACGGCCTTCCGCAAGTATGCACGCGCAGTCGCATCTTTCGATTCTGTCGCGGGCATCGTCGACGGTAACGTCGATTGTCGCACCTGTCACGCGTAACTGACACAACTGTTTTACAACGAGGGAGAATCGACCGCGAAGTTGAAGGCGATTCGCGATATCGGCAGGTAAAGTTAATTGAATCGGCAAGGGAGAAAGAGAAGAAGAGGACGCAACGTACGTTGCTTAAACTGCGGCGAAAAGATCCGAGACGATCAATTGAGTCCGCAATTTTTCCAAGCTGTAGCATTTTACTCCCCGATAATTCGATAATCAGAACGGATCCGCAGTCGTTCAATCACTGTCGCGAACAAACCTCCTCGACACGTTCTGACGTTTCAATGTTATACATTTAGGCTTCCGCTACGTTTGACTCGGCAAAAAGTTTCCAGCTGTATCCGGTTGCGTGAACGTCCTTCGACGATGTCAAAATTAAAGGATTCGGCAGGAGAGATCGTAAATCTATCGCGTAGGGTGCACATTTGTGGCATTACACTGTTCAACGGAAAGAAGTGCACGAGACCCGTTTACCAAAGTGCTTGGCAGATTCTCTCCGTAAGCCACAATTTTAGCCTGATAAACTCAATCATCAATATCTTTTTAAGCATAATCGACACACACACAAGAAATTCCTTTTAAGTGCTGAAAGTCCCAACACAGGGTGTCTCATTAACGTGATACAGCAACTTGATTCACATCCAGCGTTAAAAAAGAACTACAAGAAAACAATTATGCTCAGTTCTTGAAAATTAATTTTGTTTTTGTACGCTTATTAGTCCGTTTGCATATATCCACGTTTATTTATAACAACGGTGTTAGGGGACTACGGTCGATAAAATGAAATGCTCCACATTTGCAGTAAGCCAACGCGATCTTTTCCCGATAAGACAAGGTCCTGATCAAACTTGTGGACAAAGACGCCGAGCTCTCGAAGGAGAGCGACGCGATGAATAATCGCGGTATGCGGCATTTATCCCATTTAGCCTCCCCCCCGAAGATCAGGTTCCGATTAGAGATCGCAATCGCGAGCGCGACAATAGGGACATGCGCGTTCTGCTCCCGTCTTTCAAGGCGAGACGACGAATCTCCTTTGTCATCGCACAACGTTTAAGAGCCCGTGACACACGAGAGAGGCACGGGGAAGTGTGTCAATGTTACGGCGATCGCATGCCAGGTATCCGTGTACTTAGGTACGTGCGTGCCGCTCTTCCAGCCGCGGGGTTAATCACCTCGCGCCGCTCATTGTGTTCTCAGCGATCGACGGGGACCGGACTCTTCCCAGGCTAAGGGCGATCGGCGATCGCCTCTTCGAAAAGTTGCAGATAAAATTGCGACAGCAGGATCGAGCCAAGTGTCGTCGAGGTCCCGCGAGGTACCAAATATAATTATCTTTCAAATACGCCAAGATCGTTACATTGTCGCGTGAGCGTCTCCAAGTACGGCCACGTTAATTATCCGGATGAAACACCGGCGATACACATCTTCTGCCGCCGGCGCGCGTGACTTCGCGCTCCGAAGGACTTCGCCGTTACGTTTCCGCGGCGAGGCGTCTCGCCGCGCTCCTCTCTTCCGCTCGCCCGCGTCGGTTTCTAGCGGCAAGATGATGTAACGAGTAAGGTGCAAGCGGTCAAGTCGCGGCGCGCGACCTTGAAAATCGAAGATCGAGAGTATCTCCGCCGTCGATGGCCGATGGTGGTGGTGGTGGTCTCCCACCGTGGCGAGGTGTAATTGCACCTGTACACCATATCGCGAGTCCTGTCCCCTACTTCCTTCGTTACACGCGCGGAAGGAAGGCCCCCCGATCCTTGGACACTTTCTTATAAATGTACGTTGGCCACCGGCTCGCGTTTCATTTGACGCTCCACCCTCCTGCACGCGGAGGGATCGATCCGCGGGTCCGTTCCGTTCTCTCGTTACCTGGTTCCTCCGCCCGGCCACCCTTCGTCGTCGCGCGTCACGCGGCCGATCCAGTGCCAGCCAGGCAAGTGGATTCCATCCGATCTTTCCTAGAGTTCGAGGATCTCGGCCGCGGTCTCGCTCGTTCAAGGATACTCGTGAGTATTCTCTCTCATCCTTGTCAGCTTTTCCGACGGGATTTCGCACTCTCTAAAAGTCAATCGGCGGATTATCACTGGAAACAGTGATTCACAGTTTCAGTAGTGTACTTGTAACCGCAGATCAGTGACCATTCGCTGTTTTCAGTGATAATTCACCGATTGACTTTTAGAGAGCAGTTAAAAACGGCTCTACAAGAATGCATTCCAACGTCTTCCTCTTTTACTTTGGTGACTTGTAAGGCTGCCGTTGTCTCAAAAATAGTCACAGCATACTTTTCGCTCGCATGGAGTTGTCGCTCATTTTTATACCAAGAAATTTTATGGAATGGATTTCCTATAACGGTACAATTTGATAACAGGTTGTGACGTTTGGATAAATCTGGGAGATCTTGTTCGCTCCGTTTCAACGGGCGATCAAAAGAACGCGTGAGCTCCTCACTTGCCGCTTGTTGAGAGGCAAGCTGTCGGTGAGCTAGCGACAAAACATTTGCCGAAAGAGCAGTGTACTCTCTAAAAGTCAATCAGTGCATTATCACTGAAAGCAGTTATTAAGTGTAGCACTGAAGAATTTAGTGGTACACTTGTAATTGTAAATCAGTGACAATTCGCCGATTGACTTTTAGAGAGTAATATTTGTATGCAAGCTTTATTTCATATCTCGTCGTTCCGTTTTATTCCGGAGATTTTGATCGACCGCTCGTTCTTTCAGCCTATTGCGATATCTCGTGACATACAGAGCACCTTTAAACTACTTGCCTTCCCTTCGATTTCTATCATTCCGTTCCAACAGAACGTCAAACGTTAAGATCTGATACGTCGCATACTTTCGCGCTGAGAGAAAACTGCCTAAATTAGCTGAAAAGATGGCGGTAGCTTGAAACGAGCGTTCTACGCGACGTTCGCTGAACCGGATTTTGACAATGGAAATGCGTCTGAATGCGAAAAGGAGCGAGTGAAAGTATCGAGTAAACGTACGAAGGAAAGACAATACACGGGACTCTGGGCGTACTAACGTAATACAACGATATGCAATACGAAGAATAGTATTCGCGCAGCTCGTTTGTCCCGCGCTGTTTATGAAACGCTTGGAATGTCAATGGACAGGAATATTAAATCCGCGCACGTATCCGAACAACTGAATTCACATATTTACTCGATTTTACTGTGACAAAAGCGATATGGTGCAATGAATTAAAATGAATCTATTATTTTCGTTAAAGACATACCTTTCGGAAATGGACATTTAAAAATGGTACGTTATTATCAATGGCATACTTTTGAAATGCTATATTATTTCTCTTAATTATTCTAAAATTCAGAATTGGGAAAGTGTAACGAAGTTAAGTTAGAGTTACCCCCCAAAAAAGTAACTGTAACTTCGTTGGCAAGTAACGAGTTACTTGCCAACCTTGCTAAAATCTTTGATAAGTAGGCTCGAATAACGAGCAAATTTACCCTCGCTCTCGGTCGCGCAATCTCGGTGGCTCCGGCGATTAATTAATTAATGCGGGCGCGATTATCGCCTCCGCTGCAATTCCGCCGCTGTTCCGCGCTATTTGCAAGGCTCGTAACTTGCGATATGCCTTAGAGGCCCGTTAGATCCGCGTCCAATCCGGGATGCCGACGCACGTTCTACACCCATAATGTCCGTTCAGCCTTCAACTTAGCGTAGGTCTCTAATTAAAACTCTCCCGCGTCCGCTTTGCCAATAGCTTTGCGAATCCTACGATCCGCGATAGATCATACGCGTCTGTAGCAAATATTTCACGTCGCGTGGATCGATCGTATCGGTATCTATTTTATGGTTTCAGTGAGAGATGTGCGAATCAGATTTTTAGGACGGTAATTAAAATTAGTTAAGAGAGAGATGAAAGGTAAAAAGTGTGGTAGGATGAGTGTGAAGAGCGAAAGAGTGCACAGTTGGAAAATTGGTGTTTTCTTGTTAAAGAAAATGCCGGTTAAAATTTTTGTGTTAAGTGTTTAACACATTCATCTGTTAATTTAACATATTGCTCTTGTGTTAATTGACCTCAAATGGAAAATAATTAAAATACTTGAAAAGAAATGTTAAAACAACACAATGCGTACTTAGTTTTTTAATCCGACACAATATATATGTTCTGTATTATTAGTATAAAAAATATGTGGCGATCGTGGCGCAGAGTATTGTGCGCTGGTCTGGTAATCCGAAGACCTGGGTTCAAAACCAAACAAAACATTGTTGGTTTTTCGTTCGATCGCCACATAGAGAAGTGGATGTAGAGAGAGGTGTTATAAGAGGTTTGGGCACGTTCCTTCAAAAACGCCTTGTAACCCTAAGGGAAATCAATAAAATGTATCTACATCTACATCTATTAGAAAATATAAGAAAATATAAAAAAAATCTCTCTGTTAAAATGTACAGAATAAAATGTTGATTTTATTCTATATAACATAAGTGAGAGTGATTTCGAACAGTCATTTGACTTATTACATCTGTAAAATGTAAAAATTAGATTTTTTAAATTCATTTTGTCATTAAAAATATGTTATATTAACAAAAAAATTTGTGTGGACCGTTTGGAACATGTGATATCTGCTAAATGTAACACAAATTTTTCAACTGTGTGTGGTTAAGTAATAAATGTAAACCAAGTCCACTTTATGACTGTAAAAGTTGAAGTTTCAAAATTTAATATAAAGCCATCACAATATACTTTCACAGGATTGACAATACGTAAAACTCGTGTTCGAAGTATCTAGATTGAAAGTTTTCGAATCGTAAAAATTCAAATTCTCGGTCGAGTCGATTCGATTGATATTCGAGTTTACATATCTCTAATTTCAGTCTTGCTGCACCTCCGTTTTAATCTCGCAATCTTGCGAACGTGTGTATTTACGTCTAGATCTCCTAAGAATAGCAAATGCGCGTTCTTAGGCGAAGAAGAAAATGAGCAAAAGTGCTCTCGTAAACGTTTCGCGGGATGTAGTGAACGTTAATAATCAGTAAATTGTTCGTAACTAATCGAATAATCGTGGCTGATAAATGCACATCGCACACGTCCATTCAGTATCACGTTGGATTCAGTATACGTTTGACTATGAATCAGTCGATATCGCAATGACCAGCGACCGTCATGGACAATTTGTTAGATGTTTAATGTTTACGTAATATATGTTTATTGGGTACGAGAACCCAACACGTCTTTAAATAGCTTATTAATATGATATTCATCCGTAATAACTATTCCACCTGCCTACTTCAGCTACCAGTTTTTCCTGTTACCGTATCTCGTTTCTGATCGCGATCGCGGACCGTGTTTACGGGACCGTGTGTGCCCGCTACTATTTTGCAACGGGCGACGCGTACGTTTACGTTACGTAATTAAATTCTAGCTTATTGCCGGAGCGAAAAAACAAAGAGCCCGAGAATCGGAGTGCGATATCGGGAACAGCGGCGCGCGGCGCCCGCGGGAATTAACGTCCGAGATTTATATTTTTCATTTACTCTCGGTATAAAACTTTCACCGAAGAAAGGTCGCCGCCGGAGACTCGTAAGAGCGCTTTGCACGCTTCGCGGAACGCACCCCGTATAAACGACGACGGTGTCCGTCGCCCCGCGGAATCTCTCGAGTGACGCTGGAAAAAATCATTAAATCCAATCGGCCGGAAAACACGGGAAGCTGCTCCCTTTTTCCTCCCCTCCCCCTCCCGGGGAAAGCGAGACGGCGAATGGCTTTTAATCGATCCGACGGCGCGCGCGAACTCTTCTCCCGAGGCGATGTATAAATAATGTATCGAAAGGGAGAGCCGAGTGAACCGTCGCCGTAAAAATATATACCCACGAAAACCGCCGTGCGCGAACGGAGACGCCGAGAACGCGGGAGCGGATCTGTCTCATTCATAATCTCGGCAAACGAGATTAAGATACGTATCTCTAGACACGTGCAACTCGAATATGCATCTAATCACTGGCGCACCGCGCGATTCGCCGCTTATTGTCCTTCGTGTTGTATTCGCGCGTTATTCGAGCAGGATGCACGCACCGTTTCGCCTTGGCGCACTCCTCCGTTTTTTGTTCCTGCGCTAATTGCTGACAACGCGTGAACGCACAGCGCGTAATACGGTGGGATTCTGTATCGCGACACGGTTGAAAGATTTGCGTTAAATTTCACAGATATCACACGTCCCAAACGATCCACACAAATTTTTGCGTTAATTTTACACAATATGGACATGTTAAATGATCACACTAATACTCTGTCAATATTTCAACACAAAATCAATGCAAATCTCAGAATAATTTGAAATAAATTTTGTGTAAAATTAACATTTTTTTAATGACCAAATGAATTTCTGAAAATGTAATTTTAACATTTTACAGATGTAATAAGTCAGATGACGGTTCACACATTTTATTCTGTAAATTTGAACAGATAAATCTTGTTACTAATAATATAGAACATATGTATTGTGTAAGATTAAAAAATAAGTACACGTTGCGTTGTTTTAACATTTCTTTTCAAGTATTTTAATAATTTTACATTTGAGGTCAATTAACACAAGAGCAATACGTTAAATTAACACATGAATGTGTCAAACATTTAACACAAAAATTTTAACCGGCAACTTTTTAACCAGGAAACACAAATTTTTCAACTGGAGGCGCGAATCTGCGTGAATGCATCGTCGCGAGCGAATTTTTAAGCCGTGCCACCGGACAAACGGTATCTGCAGCCAGACATTTTCTAGAATTTTTCAAAGCGACGATTATCTCGTCTATATTTTACATCTGTGAAATAATAGAGGCGATAATTGGACTTTATCTGGAATCTACGAGTTTCTGCGAACGTGCAATTACGCGGCCGTTCATTAACAATAAACAGTTTTTCGACGCGCCCGTTCGTTCCGCTCGTCATGACATTGCGGAACGATTTTTGCCTATCATTAAGTACTCCGCTTTAATCGCCACTGATGTAACATGAACCGGCACGACGGCACTTCTGAGTAATAAAATC